TGCTGAGTGGAGGTGTAGACTCCCGGCTGTTGTGCTCTCGCACAGCCTTTCCCCCAGCTGGTCACTCCAACAAGCCAGAAGTAGTCAGCATTGTTATCTTTGCACACGAGAGGACCACCGCTGTCACCCTGCAGCAGAGGAGAGAGGACTGAGGTGTTGTTGGGTGGCCTCTGTCAGCACTGTGGCTGGCTCCTTCCCTCTCACAGCACTGCCGGAGCTGTATCCAGTGCACAGAAAGGCTCTGCTCAGGTGCTGGAGCCTACAGAACCTTGTCTGGGAGGGGGTCACGGGCCTGTCAGGTAAGGCGCGCTCTCATCTCTGCACAGCGATCCCGGATGCGTGGAAGACGGATGTTCCAGGATTGGGATCTGGACCTGTGTGCTGCCAAGAGCACTAGATGGGCTTTCTGGGCAGAGTCCCAGGCCTCTGGGACAAGTGGGGCACTGGGCAAGGACCTGCAGATGGGGCAGGGGAGGTGAGCCCCAGCAGTAGCGGGGACCCAGCGGTGGGCAGGTGACTTGCCGGGCAAAGCACGCCCCGGGGTGCGTTTGGGCGGTTGTGACAGGGCTGCCTGTGCTGCTGGGGGTCGATTTGTAGCGCGCTCCTACCTGGCAGGTGTCGATGCCACCCTGCGGATAGCCAGCACACAAGTTGTGGGTGTGGACGGCCCCTCTGTACCACCGGCTGCTGTTACAGAGGTTGACATCAATGAGGCGGACCCTGGCCTCCTGCAGGACATCACTTGATCCTCCAGCTGTGAGCACAGAAAGGAATTAACACCCAGCGGCTCGTGGCCAGTTCTCCTCCCTTCTCTGGCTGAACCCTCTCCTAGGGCTTGGCTTTGCATCTTGAAGGCCTGGTACCGGTGTTCCCCCTCTGTCTGGCTTTGGGTAACGGGTCAGGCCCATCTCTCTACAGGCACACGTCCCCGCAGCCTGGCTCTGGCTTTCGCCCCTGCTGTGAGGAGGCCCAACCCGTCTCCCCGGTGTGCCAAGCTTACACTCAGGACACGAGCCCTTTTTGGGAACTCACATCTTGCAGCCGTGGAACCCCAACCACTGATGTAGCAGTTTTTCAGCTCTGACACCCTCAGCGAGGCGTCGGGCACACAGGCAAGCTGTATGTAGTAGCTGCACTGGACAGGCTGGTCCAATTCCAGCAACGCAATGTCGTTCTTCTCCGCGATCCTACTATAATCTTCGTGAGCCAGTAGCCGCTTTATATTTCGCACTTAGCTGAGTCAACTGGGTGGCCCCGATCACCACGCGCCACATCGTGATGTGCCTGAAGGCAGATGGAGAGAGGGGTCAGAGGGAGCGGAGCCACGTGCCGCACCGGCCCAGCAGTTCCCTGCCTTCTGCTTCACGAGGGAGAGAGGAAAGCAGCGCTACGGAGGGTGCGAGTGCCGTAGCACGCCTTAGGCACAAGGAATGTCGATCTGGAGGCTGCTAGGAAGCAGTGGCACGAGCCCAGCCTTCTCCTGAGCAGTCTCTCAGCTGGGCTCTGGAGTGCCCAGGGCACTGGGCCTCCTGCAAGGAAACGGGATGGCAGTAGCACGTGGTGCTGCGGACAGGGGTATCCCCGTTCCCCGGTCCTCCTTACCAGGCCTCGAGGAAGCAGTGGGCTGCTGTGAGGACCCACTGTGGGCTGATGAGGGACCCTCCGCATATATGCCCCGTGCCTATTTCCCAGGGATCCTGGATGCTGACGATCCAGGGCCAGGCCCCTGGCTGGGCATCTGTGCCACCCACGACGCGCGATGTGCCATAGAGAGAAGCCATGGGCCGGAGCCCGCAGGTCCCTCTGTAACAAGAAACTCATTATTGTCCTGCTCAATGGCTTGCTGCTGTTCAGGCTGAAGGTCAGCCATCTTCCCTCCCCACAAGGCGGTGCAGGGACAGCAGGGCCAGGGAACCCCATAAGGCACGCGTCCGTCCACCGTGTTTCTGCTTTAGCCCCGTAGACGACTTGTGCCAGCAGCCTGGGTGCTGGCAAGGAACTGAGGCTCCCACATGGGGTTTGGGAAGCTGCGGTGTGGCCACGGGGGACAAGCGGGCACCCTCCAGTGAACCCCATAAGGGTTGCCCAAGCTCCCGCCCAGAGCCTCGGGCCACTTACCCACAGTTGTCCCATGTGCCGTGCGCAGGCCAGCACACGGCCAGCAGGACGAGGAGGGGGAGCAAATTCATCGCTGCCAGCGGCACGTCGCAGCTGCAAGAACCGAGGGTTCGTTGCCAGCAGCGCAGCAGCCGACGTAGCACCCGCAGTATTCACGTTGCCCGCGGTGCCCTTGGCCCCGGGGCTGATGTCACAGAGTCGCTGGTTCCAGGTGCTGGGCACGGTGGCCTCTCGGGGCGGGGGGCAACATGGGGGGTTCCAAGCAGGAGGGGAGGCAGAAGCTGGGATCGGACACCCCCGACAGACCCCCGCTGAATGCTCTGCTTGTGGGATGAGGGTGTGCAGGCCCCATGGCAGGCAGCAGCACCTGGCTCCCAGCACTGCCTGCTAACAGCTAGCAGGAAAAAAGAAGTGTGGCATTTTAGCCTCTTTGGGAAGTTCACTGCCACCTTGCTCTCTGCAGCCGCCACCAAGTCCTTCCCAAAAAACATACACCAGAGAACATAACTACTCCAGGCAGTATGCAGATGTTTGGGTTTTGAATCTGGTTACAGCTGCAGCAGGCAAGCAGTGATGTGCGAGGGGGGTGAGTCCAGCATAGCCACGTGGTGCACGCTGTATGTATGCGCAGGTCTGGGTGCACACATGCTGGTGTGTCGGTTTGTGTAGGGCACTCTATATATGCATGCACCATGTCTGCACTATGTGTGGGTGCACTCTACATCTATGTACACACATTGTGGATGCACACTGTACACATGCAGTGTCGTATAGATGAGCCTGTGAGTGTGCACACCATACATATGCGTTCACAGGGTAGAGTGCGTGCAGTGTGTGTGTACATTTTGTGTGTATGCAGGCAGGCTGTCTGTGCATGCACTTTGTGTGAGTGTGTGTGCACGCTGAGTGTGCATGCCTTCCACTCTCTGCGTTCATGTGTGGTGTGTGTGCATGTGAGTGTGTGATGCAGTGTTTGTGTGTATGCATGCATGCGTGTTGGTGTGCAATGTGTGATGCAGTGTTTGTGTGTAGTCTGTGTGTGTGCATGCATGTGTGTTGATGTGCAGTGTATGTGCATGTGTGTTGGTGTGTTGGTGTGCAGTCAGTGTGTGTGCATGTTGGTGTGTTGGTGTGCAGTCAGTGTGTGTTGGTGTGTTGGTGTGCAGTCAGTGTGTATGTGTGGGTGTTGGTGTGTTGGTGTGCAGTCAGTGTGTGTGTGGGGGGGTGTGTGTTGGTGTGTCGGTGTGCGGTCAGTGTGTGTGTGTTGGTGTGTCGGTGTGCAGTCA